ATGACCTTCAGCACTGTGATCTGGCTGCAGCTTGCATATGTCCCTCTTACCAGAAGTGACCGGGGTTCTCCAGATGTGGCCTGACCAGGGCAGCATGAATGAAGTCATTACTTCCCTTAATCTGCCCTCTCCACCTCTGAGGTTATGTTCCAATTTTTTGCAACCACGTCATGCCCTCGACTCTCATTATGCTTGAGGTCAGCTAACACAGAGACATTTAAGCTCTACTCAGGAGGCAGGGAGCGGGGAGACAGGCCAACGGGAATGTTTCCTTACTGCATCTCCTCTTTTTCTCCATTCCAAGCCTCTCTTAGAAATTAGGTTCTCTGATAACTGTGTCGACAGCTTATTGGGTAATGATGCTGGGAATAGAATGGTTGGTTAAAGGTTCTACAATTCCCGGAGAAGTGGCATCCGAGCCCAGCCCCTGACTCCTTCACAAGCCATCCCTGTCTCCATCTAGCCTGCTGCTACAATGATAAATTAATGTTCAGTGTCCCTCCTTCACCTCTTGCTTCTATCCCAGCAGGCCTGGGCCCTGTCTCCAATGAGGAAGATTTCATTTCCGGTTTTTGAGAAGAGTGGTCACTCTGACCTATGATTTCCCCCTCCAAGGAAAGCTTGGAGCATGCTTGGCCTTTGATTTATGGCTCTCCACTGCCTACAATTTATTATCCAGCAGACTTGCCTTTGGTCTCTCACTCCCTCTCCTCCTCTCGAGGCTTTGAGCACCACCAGTCCTTCTCTCCATAGCTTCACCTTCTGAGTTCTCCTGTCTTTGCAGTCTAAAGCAAACCAAGGTGCTGAGACCTTGTGTATGTTGCAGAAATAACAGGGGACAGTTAAGCAAACTGACATTGGTTTAGTGCCTATTACATACAAATTCCTATGCTGAACGCCTGTGGTACTCACTTCATTTCAGCCTAACAAGAGCCCTACAAAATAAGTATCTCTATTCCCATTTTACAAATGAGAAAACAGGTTTATAGAGAAGTGATTTACTCTAATGGGCTCTGTAGGCTATGTCCTTTCTACTGTAATATGCTACGTTGAATCTTGGCTAACATTTACTGAGACCAAGCAAATTACCCAGGTTATCTCATCCTCCCCAAAACACTATTATTATTCCCATTTTACTGATGCAGTAACAGGGTCGGTAGCATTGAAGAACTTGCTCATGAGCCACATAGCTGTTAAGTTATAGATCTAGGATTTGAATCAGGGACTCCAGAGCCAAGTATTTCATCTCAACTGTGTACAATCAGGATTCCTGGTCCTAGTTTTGCCTTTGTAACTAACTTAAGTTGTTCCTTTAGGCAAATTATTTTCTCACCCCAAGCCATAGTTTCCCCAACCATACAAAGGGAGGCTTGGTCCAGTTGAGTTCCAAGATCTTCTCTGAAGAAATAGCTGGACATTTGGAGATAAAGCATTTTGGCATGTTGGAAGAATTGCTCTTTCCAACCTCATTTTGTATTTGTGGCTTATTTGTTTTTAACTGTTTGGATCAGACAATGACTCTCCATTGCCCCAAAAATAAAATACTTCACCATGGCTTAGAAGTCTGGATGGACTGACATCTGCTGAACTGACTGATCTCTCACCCATTATTTGCACCATTTTAGGCAATTGGTCGTATATGATCTCTCCCGTCTAACTTTGGATGGGCTATTTCCTCTGTCTCCCCATCTACCTGAAAAATTTGTTTCATCGTTGAAGACCTAGCTCAGATGTTACATCCCCTGAGAAGACTTCTCGGGGCCCGAAAAATAATGATTAGGTGTCCGCTTTCTGTATTCCCATAGCACCATGCATGTTCTTAAAGTCAGCACTCTCCTCCTAAATTAGAGGCTATTAATTATTTTGATCAGTTTACCTGTCTCCTGTTGCTAACTTATAAATGTGCTCCAGGCTTAAGCCAGCACACAAATAATGATGATGATAATGGTGATGATGATGGTGATGATTGTGATTATAATGATGGTAGTGATGATGATGATGATGGTGATAGTAATGATGATGGTGATGATAATGATGGTAGTGGTGGTAATGATGGTGATGATGATGATGGTAGTGGTGGTGATGATGGTGATGATGATGATGATGATGGTGGTGATGATGATAATGGTGATGATTGTCATGGTGGCGATGATTATGATGATACTTTCTAACATGTATCAGTGTCTTACTATGTGCCAGACACTTTTCTAAGAGTTATACATGTATGAACTTATTTAATCCTCACTATAACCCTATGAGGATTAGCAATATGTTATTCCTTTCTTATAGATGAGGAAATAAGGAGTAAGTAGATTTTTAAAAGCACAGAGAGAAAAAGCAAGCCAGCACCCCTAAATACGATGATGTGAAACACCTAACACCTGGAGGTGTCCTCTACCTGCTGCCAGTCTTGCTTTCCCCCAATTCCATTCTCCTCAAGGCAGCCAAAAATGTCTTTAAACAGTCTGGCTCTGAATCTGTTACTTTGCTACTTGAAACCCTTCAATAACTCCTTCATTTGCACTCGAGACAATAATCATAGAGATCATTTGCTGAGGGCTTATAGATTCATTAGCACTTTTTTTAATTTTTAAAACAATGCCTTGTGGTAGATACAGTTATTATTCCCATTTTATAAGTAAGGATACTGAGGCACAACTTGTTAAAAATTCTCTCCATATCACAGAGCTAGTAAGTGGCTGAGCTGGGATTTGAACCCAGCAGTCAGGCTCTAGAGCCTGTATGGTGCACCATTACTCTGTGTAACCAATGTCCCAGGTTCCAAGCTCCAATGGCCTGGCTCCTGCCACTTCTGCTGTTGCCCACTGTGTCACCACTTACACACTGTATTCCAACCAGAAATTCTCAGAACTTCTATTTAATCCCTTATCTCTGTGCCTTTACCTATGCCTCCTGTCATGCCTTTGCCTCTCCTTTACCTAACCCCTACTCATTTATGAGACTCAACACAAGATCCTCTTCTACAAGGACGTCTTCTTGGATATCCTCAATCCTAGGCACCTTCCTCTGAGTCCCCACAGCTCCCATGCCTCCTTTTATCATTGCTCTTGCCACCTGTATTGTAATTTTCCATTTGTCTCTTTCCTACTGAATTGGGAGCTCTGCCATAATAAGTGCTCCATAAATGAACAACCAATGACTTTATCTTCTTTAACTTCACAACAACCCAGTTTTTCAAGTCAAGAAAAGATTTAGAGATGTGGAGTAAATTTCCCAATCATGCAGAGCTGGTAAGGAAGAGAGTAAGAACTCAAATGCAGAGGGGTGACATGTAAACTCCTCAGGCTCCTCCAGGGGAGGTGCCTGTCAGAGAGGAGAGAGGACTGTGGGTCGAGCAGCTACTCTAGGGTGATTATGAGGCTATGAATTCTTGGCATGTCAGGAAATATTCCACCAAAGTGGTCAACTATACAAAGAGGACTTTTTGAAAGGCACCTCATAAATCGTGCCCACAAAATGTACACACATAAGCTCAACCCTTTTCCAGCCACCACACAGGTGCCTAACACAGTCTCCCATTTGTGGGGTCTGTTATCGTAAAACAGCTCCCTCCTGGGGTCTTAGGGGCATGGAGAGGACATCAGGAGAGAGCCTCTCATTTAGCCTCTCTGGATTCCTGGGCATCTTGAAGATGCTGGGATGTAGAGAAAAGTGGATTCCACATGGAGGCAGACACCTTGACATTGAAGCTGACTTGTAGTGTGACTGGGGAAAGGGATTTTCTTTTTCCTCTCTAAGCCTCAGTTTCCACATTTTTAATGAAACTGGGTCAGACTAGGTCAATGATTCTCAACTAGGGCGATTTGGCAATGTCTGGAGATAAATTTATTGTCATGACTGAGGTTGGGGGTACTATTGGCATCTGGTGGGCAGAGGCCTAGGTATGCTGCTAAACTTCCTACAAGACTGCCCCTACCACAAAGAATTATCCAGCCCAAATGTCAGTAGTACCACTGTTGAGAAACCCTGGACTAAGTGATCTTAAAGATCCTTGCTAGCTTTCATTTTCTATGTAGCCACTAGACCTCCTCAGTGATCCTCTCTCTGGTGCTGGATAAAGAACTCTAGATAAATTCCTGATGATGATCACCACAATACAGGTTGATTCTCGCTTAGACTAGTGTTAAGTATGACCTTGATCCTGAGACATCATTATGACAATTCTTTATAGTAGTAGCTATCATTTATTGGGAGCTTACTCTATGCCAGGCTTTGGGCATTTCTCATAGTTAATCTCACAACCAATTTATGCAGGTAAGACTACCATCACTGTTTTAGAGATGAGAAAAATGAGATAGACAAGTTCTGACTTAGGGATGTATATATTAAGGCTTTGATGAAAGAGAAGCACAGAGGGCAAGATTTTCTTTTGAGGGTGAGAGAATTCAAAAAACAAGAAAGAGACAGTTAGAGAGGGACTTTGTGGGTGTTCAGGCCTAGAGCCCAATGCCCAACTCCAGTGGAGAACTTGATGTTTGGTCTTGGTCAATAATGTCATTTCTCTGAGCCTTGGGCTCCACATCAATTAAATATGAGTGGAAAGAACAATATTTTCAGGGCTATTGTGAACATTAAATTAAAAATTTGAAACGTATATAAAGTACTTACCCAGTGTCTAGCGCATGGTAAGTGTTGATAAATCTTAGTTGTTGTTTATCATTATTATAGTAATTTCTACTTGGTCAGAGTCCTAAGGCTTCTTACCTTATAACTCTATGACTCTCATATCTTAGAAGTGAAGGTGCTAGGTCAAAGGATATACCTCTTTCATTTTTAACACTTTGCACGCACAATGAAAAGGACAGGTTCTAAGGTGGTTTTTGAATAGGTGTTTGAAATCCCACACTCAGGTCAATAATGGATAGGAAATTGTTAGGACAGGAAGTCCTCATTTGTCTGTTGACTTTTATTCACCACCTCAAAGGCCTAACCCTTGATCTGGGCTTCTTCTTTCATCACTGTGTCCTCCTACCTTTCAGGAAGGCCCATCTGATCCTACGGCGGCTGGAAAGGGTGAGCAGCCACTGCTCCAGCCTCCTGCGAAGCGCCTACATCCAGAGCCGCGTGGACACCGTGCCCTACCTTTTCTGCCGCAGTGAGGAGGTCCGGCCTGCGGGTATGGTGTGGTACAGCATCCTCAAGGACACCAAAATCACGTGCGAAGAGAAGATGGTGTCCATGGCCCGAAACACGTATGGGGAGTCCAAGGGCCGGTGAGGGAGGGCACCGCCCTCTGTGAGCACAGAGACTCTCCGTGGTAGGGGGAGCAGTACTCTCGTGGATCTTGGGGCCTGGGTGGGCTAGGGAACAACTGAGGATGGGCCTGGCAGATGAGGCTTGCCAGCAAGGCCAAAGCAAACTCTTTCTCTTGTGGATAGCTGACAGAGAACTTTGTAACCACTGGAATTATCCATTTTTCTCTACTTTTATTTTTTCTAAGGTATTATTTGACTCTATCAAAGTCTCTCCCTTTTAAACTTTTTTCTTATGGATGGCGGTCAAACTCGAGGCAGGAGTTTTCAGGTGGAGACCAAGCGGCCTTTGCTCTTCTTCCTTCCTCCTGCCACACTCAACTTCCTTCCTGCCATGGACCCCTGGAAGAGACCTCTGGAGAGACAATTGGACCTCTTCAGCATCAGGAAGGAGGCCCCGAGGATTGTTGCAGTGAGGAAGCTTGGGTCTTTAGGACTTTTTTTTTCCCCCAGACATTATTGAGTTTGCAGGATCCCTGCCTCTTCCTGCTACCTGTGGGTCTGCCCAGAGTCCCTGCAGGACTTTCCATGCATTAAAAATTCCTATTGTCTCTCTTTCTGCTTGGGTAGTGTTTCTTACCAAAGGGGACCTCTGGTTATTCACTCAACAAATATTTATTGATTATCTACTATATACCAGGCAGTGGGCATGCAGCTAAAGAGAGAGATGCTCCCTGCCCTCAGGGAACTTACAGTCTAATGGAAATTATAGAGAAGCAGTCTGGTGATTTCAGACTATAGTAGGAGAAGAGTTCTTTGAACTCAATTGTCATGAGACAAACTGGAAGGGTTCTGAAATGCTTTCTTGAAAAAGTGATGCCTAAACCCAAAGGATGGGGAGGAATAAGCCAGACAGAGTGAGGAAAGATGGGATTTGTTCCAGGCAGATGTGACACCATGAGCAAAAGCCCAGAGATAAGAAAATATAACTTATCAAGGGCTGAGAGCACTTTTCTTGAGAATACAGATTGAAGTAGGAAGTAGCCAGAGGTATGACTGGAAGCTAGGCAGAGCATTGGAAGCCTTGGACAAAAAGTTTGACAGTATTTGAAGTAACTGAGAGCCACTGTGGAAAGTTAGCAAGGGAGTAAAATAGCCAACTTTCTCTTTAAGAAAAACCATTCAAGCTGCAGGTAGAGGTGGGACTTGAGAAAGCCCAAAAGAGGGTGACTATTCTCATTTTCCAAGCAAGAAATGATGGCATTTTGGATCCTGAGGTCACTGGGGACACATTCTGCCATTGCAGTGTCCTTTTAAATGGCAATTATGCTGCTTCCAGTGTGTTACCTGGGAGAGTAATGAGTACAAAGAGGCATTATAGATTCTTCACGTCCTGGCAATAGCTCAGAGAGGCTAGCTTGCTAGAGGAGATGGGATGTGGGTCAGTTATTTCATAATGCAAGGATGATGCCTGTTAAAGAGATTAGTGCACTATGGGAACTCAGACAGGGAAAGATACTGATATCAGTAAAATGTAAGCAGTTGAAAATATGCCTACTTCTCAATTTCGATGTGTGCTGATGAGATCAACAATCTCATTCCTGAAAAGCTACATGCTGAGTTTTTTTTTCCCCCCAGGACTCTAATCCACGTAGGGAAACGCAGCAGAGGGACATTCTTCCAAACAACTCAGATGCCTAGAGATCTGCTCAGCTTCAACAATCTAAGCTCAAAGGTGCTCTTTTAAGAAGTTTTATTGTTATTGGATTTACATTTCTGCAAGTATGTAGGTGGAATTTAGATGGATAAATTCCCCCCTCAGTATTGATGACCCTTCTCCCAGGGATAGTATATTCAGAAAAGAACCAACATCTTACAGAAAAAAAAAAAAAAAAAAAAAAGAGGGAGAAGAAGAAAAGAAAAACAATAGTTACCATTCATTGAATACTTGCCTGTCTTGGTCTGTTGCCTGTCTTAGTTATGGTGTAACAGCAAACCATAGACTAGGTGACTTATAGACAACACAAATTTGTTTCCCACAGTTATGGAAGCTGGCAAGTCCAAGATCAAGGCATCAGCAGAGTTGTTTTCTGGTGAGAGATGGTGGGTTCATAGGCAGCCATCTTCTTGCTGTGTCCTCACATGGCAGAAGGGTAGAGGGAGATTTCCGGGGTCTCTTTCTTAACAGCACTAGTCCCATTCATGAGGGCTCCATCCTCAAGACCCAATCACTTCCCAAAGGCCCTATCTCTAAGTACCATCACATTGAGAATAAGCTTCAACCTATGAATTTTAGGAGGACACAAACATTGAGTCTGTAGCATTGCCACATTCCAAGCCCTGTTCTAAAGTCCTCTTGTGTATACCCTCTTCTGAACACTTGGTCCAGGGCCTTCATCAAATCACCCCATTGCTATAGCTTTCCATTGTCCTGACACAACCTGAGGAAAAATTTGGCTCAACAGCTGCAGAAAGTTAAACTCCCCAACATGCCAGGGCTGTGATTTGAGCCTGATTTAGTTTAAATCTGACTCTGCCGCCATTCACCAGCCATTGCCCTTGGGTGAGTCATTTGATGCCTGAATCCCAGTTTCCTCATCAACAAAATGAGGTCACTGATAGTCTACCCCCATGGGGTTATTTGTGACGTTTGAGTGAGATAATAACTATAATGCACCCAGAACAATAGATAGTAGGCTCTTTTTTACTCTCAGTAGACAATATTCGTAATGCTATTAATCTTGGAGAAATTACTAGGAAACCTTACCTGGGAAAGGCCTAGAGAATTCTGATTAAGAGCAGGAATTAATGACTAGCAGCCCTATGCAGTATATGAATTGTAAATAGTATCAAAAGTTTAACTCAGAGAGAATTGGCTGCAGTGGTGGAACTTAATGCAATATCAAGAGCCTCAAGGAGAAGTATGTGGTTTTCTCTGAGGCTCTCTCAGACAGCTGCGGCCTCTGGATAGCTGCCCCATTTGCCAAAGTCAGCTGCCCCCTGAGAATATCCGCCATCAGGCTGTCCCCAACTTGTTCTCCTGTCTATTCCCCTCTCTGGTTTCAACCTCCTTTTCCTGGAACTGTGGAGACTGTTGCCCTTCCCAGCCACCATAAGACTCTCTAGAGTGGGATTCCAGAAAGCTGGCAAGACAGGTGTGTGCCCTGCCATGGCAGTAAAGGAGGTTAGACCAATATTTGTTAAGATGTTTCATTGGAAAAAGAAAAAGAAAAATTCTTGAAGTGTGAATGAGGGTACTGGATCCAGGACCCTGGCCTCTTCACAGCCAGATCGATTCATGTGCTGCCATGGAAAATGCCAGGGGAGTTCATGTCCCACTATGCTGGCAAAGATGGGGCTTTTCATGTGGTCTCCATCACTGAATAAAGAAGTTGTAAACACACATCTCTGTGTGTTTACACACAGATGGGAGAACTCTCATCTTCTGTATAGTCAAGAAGTGTCTTTTCTAGGCAGGCTTCATGATTAAGAATGGACTGCACAGACAGGTGCTGCTAACTGCCATTTAGGGAGTCCTCATCCTATCAATGTCTTTATACACTTATCTCATTTAACCACGTGCAAAACAGCCATGAGCTAATATGATTACATTTTCTAATTAAACAAAGTGAGGTTTAGACATGTTGAATAACCAGCTCTGACTCCTATAGTTAGTAAGTAATGATGTTGAGATACTGAGATCTAAACTTGGGCAGACTACATATTTCAGACTGGTGAGCACTCTGCTTCCTACTTCACAGGGCAAATGGGTGCAGTTACCCTTCTCCGTCTTAAGTCAGAAGCTAAGTCTCTATAAATTTCAGCCAAGGCATGAGTACTAATTTCCCGGTTTGGGGTACTGAGGTGAACAGGACACAGATCTTACCCTTAAGGAACTCCTAGAACTTAGCTGACTAAATACGGTGTGATAAAATCAGACATTTTGGAGTCAAGCCAATCTGAGCTTAAATACTGGCTCTGCAGTTTATAGTAAGGAGAGTCTGGACCCTGAGAGAAATGTATAAGGCAAACTCAACAGGTCTCACTAATTAAGAGGCTCAAGTTAGCTAACATTAACTTAACCTCTGTAAGCCTCACTTTTTTCACCTATAAAAGGGATAAGTAAGTTACCTCAAAGGACTGTTGGGAAGATTAAATTAGATAATATATATAAAGTCATTGGGGGCTTGCAAACACAAGCTGTCAATCAGTGGTTATTACAATGGCTTCTCTACAGGAGAAAGGGTGGGTTCAATTAACTCTGCCTTTGGAAGGCAGTCATCAGGAGAGTCTTCACAGTCAGAAGATGTATAAGAGTTCAGCAAGCAGAGCAGTAGAGCAAGGGCATTATGGCCAAAGAGATCAGCATATCAGGGAAGGAGTGCCATGTTTGAGAGATGGTGATCAGCTGATATGGGCTGAGAGATGGAGGGTGTGTTTGGAGAGTTTGGCAGAGCCAGACTACGTTGGCCATTGGAAGGCATTGGATTGAAGGCAGGGATCTACATGGTCAGATAAGCATTTTGAAAAGACACCTCTTGCTGCAAAGTAGGAGAGTGGAGAGAAGGGAGAGAGCCAGTGGCATGGAGACAAGATAGGATAGGATAGATAAGACAGGATAAGATAGAAGACTAAATAAGTGTTGTTTAGGAGGGAGATGAGGATGCCTGAACTAGGGCCATTGCAATGGTGAGGCCAGATCTGAGTGGTCTTAAGAAGGTTGACTAGATAGCACTTGATAACTAAGAGCCCCAGGAACTTGGATCTTCTCTTTCCCCTCTGGTGTCTGAGCGTTAGACTGGGCAGAACTGATTGGGGCAGGAAGTAGATGATAAATCACATGGGCTCAATGGATAATGCATGGATGAGGCATGATTTACATTATGTAGATACAGTAAATGGAATATAAGAGAACCAAGAATATCGTTTAGCTTTGTGTGGAAACTATACATGAACCTGTGTGTAACTATGAGTGAATGTGTTATGACTTCCAAGTGAAGGTATGTGAACCATAGTGAGAGGCTGTGTAAAGCAAGTGTGAAATCTTGTGGAAGAGTGAAGTACTGGATTTAATGAAAAGAGTGCTGAATTCTTCATCATCATTGTCTTCTTCTCCTCTTCCTTCTTCTTCACTTCCCTCATCCTCATCACCATTGCCATTTAGTTGATTGATTGCTTATCATACAACAGATTCCTTACACATATATTTCATATACTCCTCACAACAACTCTGTGATGTATAGATTACCATCCCCATTTTATAGATGTAGGAATTGAACACCAGAGGATTTAAGAAACTTCCTGGTCTCAGGCGGCTAATAAGTGGCAGAACCAAAATTTCAATCCAGGTGTCATCTGATCCCAGAATTTTAACTGCTACACTCTGTTGCCTCCTGAGGTGGGGAGTTTGGGGTTCTAGTCTTGCCTCTGTTGTACAGTGGCAGGGTGACCTTGAGCAAGCCAGTCACCCTCTGTGGGCCTTGGGTCCTCCATATGCCCCCACCACACTGGGGGAGATGTATGTGCCATGGATATGAGGATTATATCAGATGATGACTCATATACAAAGAACAGTTTTCACCTCTCGCTTTCTTTTATCTTCACTACCTCCCTTTGAGGTTGACAATGGCAGAATGCATGGTTCCCTTTGGCCAGTCTAGAGAGGATTAAGTTCTTATTAGCAAGGCTGGAGCAGAGCCTGGATCCCTAGCCAACTCTATTGCGCTGGAGACGATCCCAATCCCACTCATGGTCATATAAGCCCTACTGGTTGCTAAAGGTCCAACAGCCTTGGACAAGTGACAATCTCTCCATGCCTTGGTTTTCTCCTCTGTCAATTGGGGGAAAGAGCAGCACCCTTCGTAGGTTTTAGTGCGGATTAAACAGGTCAATATGTGTCAGATGCTTAGGACAGTATCTGGCGTATAACAAACACTATATAATTGTTAGTGGTTGTTGTTGTTGTCATTCTTGTACTTATCACCCTACTCTGCAGCCACAGTGAAAAAGCTCAAAAACTCTTTCTCATGCCTTCTCCTTCAGCGTTTGCGTGTTCTATTCCCCCTGCTTGGAATGCCCTTCCAGCTTCTGCAGATCCAGCTGACATGTCTTTCACTGGTTCCCTGAGACCTTTTGCCTCTCCCAGAAGGAGGTGGTAACTCTCTCCTCTGTGGTCTCATACTGGGGACTCCGGCCACCATTCCAACATTTTTGTTACTCTGTGTTATTCTTCCCCGTAGGACTATGAGCAAAGGCATGGACTTGGTAGCGTTCTCTCTATACCCTGAGCCTTGCACTGGACCTAGCTCATAGCTAGCATCCAGCAAAGTTGAGCTTGATGTCTAGAATGATGGACTCCTGACGGAGGATCCTGAGGCAGCACACGAATGCCCAGCATCCCTTGAGAAAAGTGGTCCTTCCAATTTGCACCATCCATGTGGCATATAAGGAGCCTGGAGAGAAGACCACAGCCAAACAAAACCCATGGCTTTGTGTGGGGGTGTGCTTTTTAATTGCCCTCCACCCATAAAACTGCCAGACCCTGAAAGGCGCTCACTGTCTGTCTCCCTTTGGAAACTTTGCTGCATGTGTTTGTACATGTTACTGTCGAAGCCAAGCTTCTCTGCTTTCCTGTTTTACAGGAGTTGGCAGCAGGGAAGGACGGGGTGCCACAGGTGTGCTCCACTGGACAAGTGGGCAAGTGTGTGTGTGAAGGAGACAAGGAGGCTGCGGAGGAGGTTGTCATTTCAGGTAGCAGTGGGTGCCCCAAACAGGAAGTTAAGAATTGAGATTCTGGACCCAGCTCTGACGCTAACAGACTGTGGGATCCTGGGCCAGTTTCCCCTTAGTCTTGCCCTCAATGTCTTTTCATAAACAGATCGATTGGACTAGAACTTCGCTG